TTTTCAGAAGTGTTCCAAAAGGTATGACTAAGGCACAAGAATTAACATGGATCATATTTACATTTTCCCACTGACTTTGGGGACTTGGGTTACTTCATCTAGTGCAGAACAATTCAAATTTTCAAATCCACTTGACTTATAAAGAACTTTCTTTTCAAAATCCAGAGCTTTGTGTCATACTGTATCACTTCAATTCATAGAAAAGACAATGTTTAAAAAGATTCACTGCAATCTTTTTACACTGTCTCCATGGGAGGCTGCCCACCCTGCTTTCTTACACTTACAAACCTTAAGCACTCTATATTCATGTCAGTTATAGTGTTCCATTAATAGCATGTAAAAAATAGGCAGAGCACACAAAGCATTTGGTGACCAGGTAATTCCTCTCAAAAATCACATCACAGGGTAGAGCAAAGATGGCGGATGGATAACAGCAGGCTACAGAGTCTCCCTCAGTCAACTTAGAATTCAATATATTACAGTGTGGGGAGTCCCAAACAGAGGAAGATGAATTCTCTCATCCCAAGAAGAAACTAAGATGAGAAGAACTAATCAAACATACAGTCACGGTACTACTACTGGAACAGCTGAAGGTTCAGTGCTCCTGCTGCACTGCCCGAATCCGAGCAGTGGCGATTTACCAAGCCATCCGAAATCCCACTGCTTCCACTCACTGGAAATGCAGTCACTTTGACTCACTGGAAACGAGGTCGGCGAGCCAAATGGAGAGCTGAGCTAGCAGGGAACCTGCATCAACCTTTGGTCAGTAACGGGAATAAAACCATTCCACAGAGAAGGGGGCTCCAACAGAGGACATTCTGGGACCGGGCAGGACTGGCAGGAACAAGGGGCAGCAGTGACTTCAGTCAGTTGTTCCCTTCCCAAACGGGATTGGTGGAGTGAGCTTGGCCTGGGTCACGTGGCCTGGCTGAGACCCAATAGGTTATCTGGAATCAATTCCCTACGGCAGTGGTGCACACTGACGAAGTGAAGGCCTCAGCAGGTTGACTGACCCAGAGGGGAGGGGCCAGCATACGCTGCCCCTGTCTGCAACTCTCTAGCACACTGCAGTGGGAAAGGTCACCTAGCCAGTGTGCTTCAGAAGAATTGTAACCAACACAGAGAGAAACTGGGGCCTTCTGGAAGAAACAAAAAAGATGGGAAGAGGAAGCAACAAGAATAAGTCCCCAGGTCCCAACCCTGAGAACATTGACCCAGGACAGGTAAATACAAAGGAGAATGAGGACAGCAAACATGCAATACCAGACACGGCACCAGTGGACATAAAGAGATATCTCTGGGGCCTCAGAGACGAGTTCAAAAGGGAAATATTTAGCCAAGTAAAGCAAAATATAAGAAGATTAATTAAAGAGATGCTAAGCACCCCCCTCAAGAAGACACAGATGGAAGAATGGAGGAACTCAAACAAAGGAGAGAACCATTTGATGAAGAATATAAAGAAAATATAGAATACATGAAGCAGATTCAAAGAGATTGCCAGGAAATTAAAAACTCTATGGAAAAATGGCAAATCTGTTTGAAAGAAACTAAGGATAGATTATCCAAACTGGAGGACAGGTTTGCAATGTGGGATTATGAAGGAAAAACTTTTTAACAAGGAAACAAGCAGTAACAATACAAACGCTAGAAGATGACAAGAGGATCTATAACTTGAGAATAAAGAATGTGAATGAAGAAGCAGGAGTACAAAGAAAGGAACTACAAAGGCTATTCACAGAAAAATTAAGGAAAACGTAGGAAAAAGGAAATGATATTCAGATACATGAGGCATACAGAACTCCAGCCACCTACAACCAAAACAGCTATACCCAGGCATATAATAATCAAGATCCCAGAAATTCAATATAAGAACAGAATATTAAAAGCTGTTAGAGACAAGAAACAGATAACCTACAGAGGAAGGGCAATCAGAATAATGGCAGACTTCTCAACACAAACCATCAAGTCAATAAGAGCCTGGAGCAAAATATTCCAAGCCCTGAAAGAAAATAACCTCCAGCCCAGATTGATATACCCTGAAAATCTGTCTCTAGAAATTAATGGAGAAGCAAGATGCTTCCAAGACAAAGAAGAACTTGGGAAATTCGTGACCACCAATCCAACTCTACAGAGAATACTGCAGGGCATTCTAGAGAGAGAAAAAAGTACTAGGACTCCAGGAACAGTGGCAGAGAGGCCTCAATGAATGGAGCAGAAAACAGAATGAAAAAGATAAGCAAACAACTGATGGCAAAAAAAGAGCGTAACAGAAATGAGGCAGAGAAGGTTGGTTATAATCTCTAATATAGATGGCCTTGATACACTAAATTAAAAAAAAGAACCACACGTAGAGTGGATCAGAAGGTAGGGTCCACTGAGATGCTATTTTTAGGAAATATAATTAACCTGAAAAAGAGTACATGGACTGAAAATCAAATATGAGAAAACAATGTTCTACACGACAGAGAACCAGAGAGTAATAGGGGCAACTAGACCAGTATTTGTGGATAGGTTGGAAAGACAGGCTTTAATAGGTAAAGGAATGCAATTAGAGATCAAATCCAGGAGAGAGAAGGTTCGGAACCACTTAGGTAAATAGCACGCCCCCCTCCCCGCCCATTTTAAAACCAAGGGTCTTGGTGAGACCAAAAATGCACACAGTGTACCCTGGGGAAGTGAAAAGATGGGGAGAGTGTTAAAAAAGACAACAGAAGATATTGTTAATAGTGTATCAGGATTTGAAACCCACATTACTCGCACCACTCTGCTTAGATTTTATTCTGTCCCAGTTTGTCTACTTGCATTAGATTTGAGGGCACAGACAGCTACCTCCCAAACATCAGGATACAGCACAGTAATCATCTTTAATTTCCTATTAACTTAATCTGGAGCCTTGTATGACTTATACTGTTTTATCATGACTGATCTTAGTTAAATCTAGTTTGTTTGACTGCTGTTTGGTATTGACAGATTTTACTCAAAACTGTTAGGATTTATAGTATCAAGTCTGAGAGTATAGGCAACTACACTGAAGATGACAAGACTCACTACGCTATACATTCTGGTTTGATAACTGCCTGTTTTTGAAGTTTTATACTATATACACAGTTCTGTTTTTATTAATAATTATATACTGATATACTCAATTATACTATGTCTGATGAGATAGCCAATTCTATTGAAGATAACAAGAGAAAACACAGGAACTATGGTAGAACTCCTTGTACAACAGTCTTACATCTTTTTCATTTCATATGTTTATAGGAATATGTTTTGTTTTGTCTTGCTTTGTTTTGTTTCACCAATATAGAAAGGATAAACACATGTTAAGACTCATGCATGAGGGGCTGGGGATTTAGCTCAGTGGCATAAGCGCCTGCCTTGCAAGCAGGCAGTCGTGAGTTCGATCCCTGGTACCAATAAAAAAGAAAAAGACAAAAAAAAAAAAAAAAAAAAAGAAGACTCATGCATGTGTAGAATCTATAAACAGTTTATGAGAACTGATCTGATGACACATAATGAAATGAATAAATACTTTGAAGAAAAAGACGCTAAAGTACCCAGTGCTGATCCTGGAATGTCATAATGTGAAACCCAGCAGTAGTATTATTCTTTGTTCAGAGTGGTATTAGTCTGCTTGGGTTTGTTCAATCTCAACATAATTGAAGATATGGATAACTGCATGCATGTTTAAGTGTATAGCATTGATAACCATATTTCTAAGTTTTTGTTGGATAGTTGAACAGAACTGTTTGCAGTCTCGCTGTATAATCCCTTTATATGCTCTACTTTAGTATCTTGAGTAACTATAAGAGGACAATCTGTAACCATCAACTAGTGATTTCTTAGTTTATTGTTTTCTTTGAAAGTATGCATTATTTCTACCCATTTTGTTTTATTTAGTCTTTAAATTAAAAAAAAAAAATTCTACAGTACCCAGTGCTGATCCTGGAGTGTCATGATGTGAAATCCAGCAATAATATTATTCTTTGTTCAGAATGATTTTAGCCTGCTTTAGTTTAATGTTAACATAAATGAAGATATGGATAACTGCATGTATGTTTAAGTGTATAGGATTGATAACCATATTACTAAGTTTTTGTTGGTAGTTGAACAGAACTGTTTGCAGCCTCGCTGTTTGAATTCCCACTTTATATGTTCCACTTTTGTATCTTGAACAACTATTTGTAAGAGGACAGTATGTAAATATCAACTAGTGATTTCTTACTGTTCATTTTTTCTTTGAACGTATGTATTATTTCTACCCATTTTGTTTTTAGTCTTTCTTTAAATAAAATTTGAAAAAAAGTCACATCACAGCAGATGTAAACAACCATTTCCCCAATAAATACAATACCCTCTCATGTAGTTTTCTGCACTTCCAACAAATTGCTTTGGATAGATTTATTAAGACTTAGAAGACACTGCTATTAAGTCTATTATTATACCTATTTATGTAAGCTAGGTGTACGAGTTCTCAAATTCTGGGCCATAAATACACAGAATTAACAAGAGAATTAACTCATATTTAAAAAAATTCAGATCTGTGTTGAACGACAAATTGAAAAGCACTCATTTTCTCACTGACCACTGACACCCTTTAAACTTTCAACTTAAACTTTTAACACTATGAATTTTAAGGCTTTTGTTACTGCTGAAGTTTGGGGGTTTGTTTTTATTATTATCTTGAGACAAGGTCTCACTCCGTAATTCAGGTTGGCCTTTAATTCACTATGTAGCCCCACTTGGCCTCAAATTCATGATGATCCTCTTGCCTCAGCCTCCAGACTGCTGAGATTACAAACATGAGTCACCAAGTCTGGGGATGTAAATGAAGTCACACATTTCTGGAAATGAGTTACAACTTCATGAACTGATGCTGAGTGCTCACTTACACTGGTTTCCATCTTAACATTTCAATGTTATGCTTCTGTTGTAATACCTTTGAACTTAGAAGAACACAGAAACTTATTTTCACACATAATAAACAAGTCTCCAAATTATTAAAAAGGCATTTTATTATAAATACATTTTAGTTGTAGCAGTAAAATACATTTTGTGTTACCATGAATTTTTTAAAACAAAAGAACTTCACTGAGACAATGATCACACTGTAGGAACCGTAGACTCCAAGTTGAAAACCTGTACTAAGAAACCAAAGTAGCTAAAGTAATTCTAGAAATTAAGCTATAAAAGAAAAGACAAAGACAGAGGAAGAATAAAACCCTAGAGAGTAGTTTTGGGGTTATACTATTATACAAAGTCATTTTTACTTAAGAATAAACTCTTTAGGTATTAGAGCCTCTTAAATGAGGTATCATTTACTGCAAAGAAAAATAATTTTGCCATAAATATGCTTTATTAGATGGCCACGCAACTGGTCCTTTGAAGAGATGGAAACTTACCAGTTGTTTTATACAGTCCCCCTTAGAAACATTTTCCAAAGTAAGAACCAATATGAATTTACTAAGCAACTGATCCTGTGAAGCTAGCTGAACAAGTTTAGGTAAGAACTGTATTTCTGAAGCACTACAAAAAATCCTGTCACTAATAATAGGATCATTTAATAAAATGCAAAACCCATTACCTTTGTAATTTAGAGAATCAATCCTAGGATACACACTACATATAGCAAGTACCTTCATGGGTTTCAAAGAATCAGGTCAGATGGCTGGCACAGAAATCAGATACAGTACATGATGTACATAATGTCCCATACACAGACTTATAGGATCAGGTGTGGTCTGGATACATAAAATCTCAAGTGTAACTGACACTTTGGGAGTTTAATTTGGAGCAAAAGAGTTCTCTGACCTACAGAAAGATATAAAGAGGTCTTCGCGTACGTAGTGCCACGCAAAACAAAGTGTAAATAAACCAAAGTTCCCTATAAGTTGGGACTACATAAAGGAACCTGAGCTGAACATATGAACAATCCTCGCCAAAGGTCATCAAGCTTTTGAAGCAGAATTAAGAACTCCAAAGCCATGCGTTGTATGATGGTCATCATGTATACTCCTACACCTAAATCATTCTATAGTCTATTACCTTAAAGTTAGGGTTTTCTCTTGCTAGCATCTCAGTAAATTCAAAGGGAAACAAAAAACCAGAAGCAGAGCCTAATACTCCCCAAGGTACAGTCCAGGGTGAATATTAAAACAACAACAACAGCAACAACAATACACAAATGTGAAAATATGCAAAGACCTGTCAAGATTGTGATAGGCAGTTTCTTTCTCAAAAATAACTTGCTCATACATGTGCACCTATGATTTATGGATAACTCATGCTGTTAGGTGGCCGATTCCCCTAGACTGTTTTGCAACATATACAGATTCTTTTTAAAGGTAGCAAAGAAATCAGAAACAATTATTCATTTTCTGCCACATACAGCACCTCAGACTCTTCCTAACACCTGCTGGTATGGCAGAAATCCAAAATAACTTTAACCTGAGAAACACACAATTTGAAAAGCAAATCCTTCCCCCTCACCATCCCCTAGCCCCTCCCCCCCAAAAAACCACCATGAAAACTACACATTATTTGGGTTATTACCTATCATTTTCAATGCTCCATGTCACCACTATATTAGGACAGGGACTCCTGTACTTAGTGCCTCAATAAATGCAAAGTGCATTCTCGTGACCTTCAGATGGCTTCTTTCCACTATTCTCCATGTGTACGGATCATCAAGATTGACTCTAAGCACATCAAACAAACGCACAGCTTCCAGACCAAAGCCCAGGCAGCACTGTACATAAAACCAATCTCACTCTAGAAATGAAAGAGCTCTTTCATCGTAATGACAAGAGCAGCATGGATCCCACCAGGGGAGGAAAAAAGGGGGTGGCAGTCAATCCAAAGGCTTAGAGCTCTTTCTCTGGGAATGTGCCACTCAGGGAATCAAAATTCTAAAAATGATTCAAGAGATCAATTTTTATCTCAAGTAAATAAACGCATTGTTAGAAACATCTTCAAACTTTCTAGAGACAAGTGATGTGCGAAGCACAATTCCTGGACCAGCAAGCACCAGCACTGCCAGAAACTTGTTGCCAATGCCAGTGGTCAGACTGCAGCCTAGAATCAGAATTGGGGTAAAGCTCAGCAACCTGCACTTCAACAAAACCTCTAAGTAAGCCTGCTGCTGACTAAAGTGTGAATACTACTTTTCCTGCCTTATTTCTTTCTTCCCTGTTTCTCTTTCACTGCCACGATTCTAAAATCTTAAAACATGACAGGTGTGTATATAGATACTACTCTGCTGAACCAATGTATGTTTCCATTCTTTCCCCTTTATTTCTCATGGACATTAAAAAAGTATTTGTGAAAATAATTTTTCAAAAATCAAAAATTTCTTAAAAGGTAATATTGATTTGCTTTCCTATACACAGTTCTAAGGCAGGCAATCACATGCTAGTATGCAAAATAAAATACGGAAGAGACCTCGTATGTGAGGTAGAAACAGTTGAAAAGACTGCCCAGGAACATAATGAAAATTCCATAAATTGTTCAATGAACTCATAGAATTCTATAAAACTTATACTTTATGCTAAATATCTGTATCAAAATAAAATCTCTCTGTTGAACAAACTGCAAATAAAGTCTGGTCTAACATTGTGATTACTGAAACTACAAGCATATGAATATCTCTGGGTTTTTCCAGTACTCCAGTTTGAGAAACTTTAGACTATCACTGTACAACTGGGTCTAGGATTTAACCACAGTTCACATTTTTAAGTCTAGATTCTCTTATTAGGTACCTTCCTTCAGTGAAAATCCAAAACAGGCATTTGCCTTAGGTATGAATTTTTAAATGTTACATTAAAATTGTCTTTTGATTTGTTTCACCTGATGTAATAATTTAGTGCCATTTTATGAATATTCTGTAAGAATGTTAAATATTGCTAAGACTTAGTCCTTGCAACGAGTCTTGAGATTGCTAATTACACAGGGATGAAAATGGTAATTGTGAATTTAGCAGATTTAGAGTAGTCTCAGCAAATAAACGTCCAACCTCCAATCGATGGACAATGTGAGAAGCTTCTTGTAATGAGCACTTTGAGGACTAATATGCCACTTATTCTTTCAAGATGGTATCTTTATAATATGTGACTGACACCACTAAGCGGTATTCTGAATAAGAAATCAATAGACTATTATCCATTTTTCTAGCTTCCAGGCAGTTTGAACATAGATCAAATGGCAGAGGGGACAGACAAATTAGATGCAGAAAGATATTTACCTCAAGATTCAGGAAAATGTACAGACTAGTGGTAGAAATAAGGATTTTCAAATATTAAGAAGGATTTTTAGCAAGAAATAATGTTAAGTCAGAAAAAACAAATCAGAACCTTTGAGGAGTTGCAAATAGGAAAAAGCAGGCTAGTCTTTTAAAGCAGCAATATGTATGTTTCACTATACTGAAATTTAGCCTTATATTTTATAGACATTGTCTGGGATTCCCTGTTTAAAGACAACTTCACAATGGAATACTGCTATCATGGGTGTCTCTTTTTAAATGACTATCTCAAGAAATTTACTTTTCTTAATAATGATAGCTGAAATACTAAACTTTATCTAGAAATTATTTCCACACCCTTTTTCTTGACCAAGGTGGTGACAGTCACATTCTTATTCGTTTATAGTTTTGCTCTTAGATGAAAATTTTTAAAAACAAAATCATCTACACTAGACCAACATAATACTATACTGTACATAAATATCTCAAAGTTAGATAATTCAATTAGCTTTCTCAGGATCATCAATTCCTATATTTTCATAAATAGGTGTTAGAGATTACTATGTTTAATAGGTAATGCTTATTAAGTGGAGATTCTGCTTATTTCAATTATTCTGCAATTGTTTGAACTAAAAAGACTAGGTATCTACATCAAACCTGAACTTATTTTAAAATCTCAGATGAAAAACAAAAACCAAAATCGAAAAACAAAAAACATACTAAGCAGTCTGGTATATGAGATGACCTACATGAAAAGCAGAACTCTGTGCAGAAAGAAAACCTAAGGTCACATTGATTTAAATGGTAAATAATTAACTACTAATTAACCATTAAAAAGAAGCTCTGCTCTAAAAATTTGGCAAAGCATACACCAAGATGGCAACCAAAACTCCTTTTTAAAAATACAGAGAAATACCCATATTATAGTGAATGAAGTTCTTCGTATCTGAACAAAAAAATCATTTTTATAACAGGAAAATAAATAGCAGAAATAATCTACAAAGTTTCTATTATTCAAAAGAATTTAAGACTCAAAGAGAAAGAAAATCTCAAGTTGCACTGAAACTAAAAAGTGAAATAAATGAAAAATAGTTTTGGCAAGAGCAAGGAAACTTCAGAGTGATACAAAGAACAAAGAAGTAGAAAGAAAGAAATCATATGAACAGTTAACTTCACTTAGAAGAAATCTGTTACAGAAAAAAGGGGAGTTGGTAATAATTGGTATTATCCCAGAGCTATCAAGTTTCCTTTAAAAAAATCCATATATTAATATATGTATATGTTTCATCTGAGCTCTAAGGTTGAATCTAGTATAGAAATAAGAAAATAAGTTATTTTATCAGCCTGACTTATGGGTATTTGCTAATAACTACAATAATGCCAACGCACATCAACTGTATTCAGAAGCCATGCCTCATTTCAATGGGAAGTTGCGATGATTCTTACAGTAATACTTGCTCAAATCATTACAAATTAACTATGCATAAATAAAATTCTCTAAAGCAGTGCTGGAAATACGGCATTAAGTAATGCTGACAAAGAGGAAGCTTGTTAGGGGTTAAAAATAAGCTTTTAATCTAGAAGACCGAAAAGATTATCCAATGGAAACAACATTCAAATCCTTGACCACAAACAAGAAAAAAATGAACACTTGGAGACTGAGCGCAGAGGAATAGACTAATAAGTAGCTATTATTGTTCATTTTTTAGAAATAACTGCTTAGAAAGAAAATGTCATAGCAAATGGACAGCTTCCTTATCCAAGGCTCCATCATCAATAATTTATAGAAGGTGGCAGTGTGTAAATGACCTCCTTAAGTAAATAGTAACATAAATAATTTAAAAACTGGTATTTTTTAAAGGTTCAAGTAAGGGAAACAGAAAATCAGGTAATAACCTCATGACAAAGGTTAACTGAGAGATCGGACAGTACAATTCTGTCTTCATATTATTAAAATGCTGTTGAACATTTATCTAACTTGTATTCTAGTGCTGTATATTGGCATGCATGGGGGTAGGAGAGGGCCATCACTGATGAAAAAATTATTTTTCATGGACATTTTCACACTGGAGAGACCTAATTTTCATTTGGGCTATGTTTGTCATAGTGTGGAAAATATACAGCTATACAGCACAAAAAATTTTCCATCTTCTCACTAAAGTACGCTAAGCAAAATTTGACATAGCTGAACGTGGCAATGTGATATCCTACAGAAAAAGCAAAGAGCTGTAGCTGCTGGCTCAGTTTTCCAACTGTGATTTATACTAACCATTAACATGTCTGTAGTCTACAGGTCTCCATCTGCCACCCCACAGAGACCTGCAGCCTGTAACAGGAAGCCACACACCAATGAAATGCACCCTAGGCAGAAGAGTAGAACTGAGTAAGAGATACATTTCATTTGTCCTGTAGCTTGCTAACCTCTAACCAAAGACATGCTTTTATCCCAAATGATATGAGGACTGCAGCTGGCCAACCTAAACTAACCTTCAGGCATACAAGAGACGTAAATAATTTCTCTTTACCCTTACCACTCTCAACCCCACTTCTAAAATGCACTGTGAATATGAGGCGGCCTGTCAAAAGCAGTCTTTTAAATAGCTATTTTTTAATGGATACTCAGGAAAGTTGGGCTCATTTGAAATGTTCCCTGGCCTCATCTTTTTTTTAAAGTTATACTGTAGTTTCAAGAGATTTCAGAAATATAAAGTTGTACTACTAGATTAGGAAAATGATAAGGACATGCATCACTTCAAATGTGTCATAAGACCACAAGTTGTAAGAGGGTAAACATTTTTCTTTGGATTTTACCAAAGCTCATTCAAGACAACTATCAGACTATAGAATATTTAAGATAGTTATTTAAATTTTATATTTTATACATGTTCAATAGGGGTATTCAAAAGAACTGAAAGACATGAGAAACAAGGGTAGTTTTCTGCCCCAGAGTTTGATGAATCTTGATTAATTTTCGACAAACGTTTTTTTAATGATGTTCCTCAAATAAAACAACTAGCAAAATATTTGAATTGCCATGTATATAATGTCACATTTTAATGTAAACATCAAATTAGGTACCAAAATTTTTACTGGAGGACAAAAATCAAATCTTAAAGCGGCACAATTCTTTATACCACTAGAGAAGGGGGAAGCTAGATTACAAACATTTACACATGCATAGTGAGAAAAAAGGATTTTACTAAATTCACGCATTTTTAAAATAGTTATCAAGTCTACTAAGCACCAACAATCCTAAAAATTTTTCAGCTTCATGATTTGTTTAAAAAAACCACACTATCAAATTAACATTAAAAACAAGCTTGAAGTGTAGCTTGTCCAAAAAAAATAACTAAGTATGCCAAAGTTTTTTCACACTTCAAAAAACAGTGGCATACAAAATACACCTACAAAGAATGCCTTCAGCTCTATCCTACGGTGGATGGAGAGTACAACAGCGTATCACACAGAGTCTAAAACTATAAAAGTTTTAGAATGCAGCATCCTTCACAAAAAAAGCTGATAAAACTTAAAGTATTTCGAAGATGCTGCCCTTTATTTTAAAAAACTTTAAATGAATTTGAGCAAAAATAACATACATTTGTACATCAACTGGCCATTTCTGGTACAGAAACCCAGCATATCGTAATATTATTGAATAAATGTAAATGCTACTTACAATTTTTTTCTTTTTAAATACATTTTAGACAAACTTTTTTTTCTTTTTTTAATAGTTGCACAATTAACCTCTTAGCTGCTAGCTTGATGCAAACATATATAACAATACACCAATTTAAAAATATTTTTTATTCTACATAAAAGCTGTCAAAATTCTGACACATCAAAAATGCAAAATAATGGAATATACTTTTAAAAAATTAGTTGCAAGTCTAGCAGCAAAGCAATTAAGTGAGAACATATTTAATATTAAAACAAAGAACTGTGCATCTATAGATGAAGTCCAACTACCTTAATTCTATTAATATAAACAGAAATTAAAACATTTTCCCCTTGAGGACAAAAAAAGTGATTATTTAAAATAGGAATAAAAGCCATTGCTGCCTGAGGAGCTGCCGAGGCTGAGTTCCTGGAACAGAGACAGGGGGTCACTGTTCTTCTTGGCCTGCTCTGGTGGGGGCCTGGGCTTGGGAGGTGCACGCAGCGCACTGGCATAGGACATGGCTGGCTTGTTCCCCGCAGGGCTCTGCTGGTTGCTGCTGTTTGCTGACTCAGCAATCTGCTTGTTGGGCATGAGTGGTGGGAACTGGCCAAGATGCTGCAGCACGTTATAGTTGAAGGAACTGGATACCTCATGGCTTTCAGACTTCAGGTGCTCCTCTGGGGGCTTGACAGTCTTAGGTGGAGCTAGAAGCAAAGAACAACAACATTGGTTAAATGGTCAGCCAGGCATTCTCCTACCTCCACAGCTCACAAGGTCACAGCTGGTTCTCACCTCCAGGAACTCAAGAACAGTGTAGCTAGGACATGAAAAAACTTTTACCATTGAATGCAGAAATCACACCACTATGCAGACTTCTCCACCCCATCAACATACAAAAGAACCATGGAACTGTAAGGGCGATCACAAAAACTAAATGGTCAAATTTGAAGGCTTGCTGAAAAATAAAGAACTGTATGTTACATGCTGATATTATCATACTAATTATTCACTTTTTATTCTTAAATTACAATGAGCTGTGTATGATGACTTTTGGTTAAAATGACTCATTATTTATCTAAGAAATAGTGGCACTGAATTTTATTTGTTAGCTGAATGTGGTGGAACATGCCTACAATCCCAACTCTTGGGAGGCTGTGGCAAGAGGATCACAAGTTCAAAGCCAGCCTGGAATACATAATGAGACCTTGTCTCAAAGAAGTACAGCTATGGTGGTTCATACCTGTAATTCCAGCACTCTGGGGGGCTAAGGCAGGAATAAGGCAAGTTTGAGCCTTCCTAGCAAACAGCAAAAACCTATCTCAAAAAATTAAAAAAGAACTAGTGATGCAGCTCAGAGTGAAAGTCCTGAGTTCAATCTTCAGTACTGAGGGTGGGGGATCCCACAAAAAATTAACTTTTCTTATAATACATTTTGACCAAACATAGAATACGTTGGCGGTAAAAACAAAAGCAGCTGCAGCCTATGTCATACTTATCTTCTTACAGAATTTCAAGGTCTTTGACTATAGGCTGGGAATGTAGCTCAGTTGTAGAGTACGTGCCTAGCATGCTTAAGCCAAAGATTTGATTCTTAGCTTGTAAAACAAAAATTTTTAAAAATTGACTCTATTCTACCTAACTAGTATTATTGCCCAGTAGGCTATAGCTTTGAAAAATTTTACATAGCACTGCAACAGATTCCAAACATTTCTGAGAAGTGCATGTGTGTGTGGGGGGGGGGGCAGGCAGGCAGGCAGGCAGACAGATAGACAGACAGATGGTGTGGGGGTGGACATATTGAGACCTACAGTTAAACTATTTGGAGCCAAAGTGCTGTGGCAAACCAAAGCCAATGAAATATGTAAGAAGCAGAGCAATCAGAAAACAGATAAGTAGAAAAAAGGAGTAGACAGAAACCACCAGAGAGAGTTTAGGATAATGACAACCCATTGTGAATGATTACTATGGGCCAGGTATTTTGTGCTATGTACTTTACACATATTATATATACTTCTCAGTAACTATCCAGTTGTTCTTAGAAGGAACTGGTCTTTCTGCCAATATAAGTCTTTGTACTTCAGCTAGGTTGAGATGGTTTCTGTTTATTGACATCAGAAGCAGCTTAAGACAATCACCATATAGAAGGAAATCAGGTATTTTCCTTTTATCTTCAGTTATTTAGCAATTCAAAATAAGTTAGAGATGGGGAGGGGTGATGGGAGCCAACCTGCTAATGTTTCTTTTTTAAGCTTTTTTTTCTAAAATACACTGGTAATACTTGATCAAAGCTATACCTAATATGACAAAGTTTAAAAAGCATAACATCAAAAACACAGTTGCCCAATGTAAGAGAAAACCAGAATTTGGAGGTTAAGATGAAAATACTTTACCTTTTTCTTATAATAATTTGATTATTGAATATGCTGATTTCATGTATTTGTAAAATTGTTTGTAATTATTTTAAAGCATTAACTTCTTCTCCTTAGAAAATTAGCTTCCCTCTAAAGACCACCGAACCATTTTAAAATTTAATGACAACACAGAATAGCCTTCTTCAAGTTCAAGAAATCTCAAAATTTCTGAAAGAAGCCTCATGTATGGTGATTAGCCTCATGTATGGTCACCCGATGTACCACTACTACCTTACTCTGAAAAACAGCAATAGTGAAGAAGTTTTAGTTCAGAATGTTAGTGATTTAGAAATTTTAAAGTATTAGTTTTAACTACAAAATGTGACAATTTATCACCTGGCAAAGAAGATAGTAATCATTCTGTATTTGCAGAAAAGACACCAGAAATGACATAAGCTTCACTATTTGTTCCAGAACTTTTTATCTTATCAGCTCAGGTCAAAAAAGAATTTTTTTATTGATTCTGGCCTAAAGCTATCCTAAAAGTGGTATGGGAAAATAAGAAATGATATTTTTAAAATAAATTATAAAACAAACCAAAAAATATAAATTTGTAATTTACATGTTTCTCAGGATCAAGTGTTTATGTTAGACTTCAAAAAACAAAGCAACCTCAAACAAAATACAAGTTACATATAGTAGGTACTGATGTGTGTTTGAAGATTAAAATGACAATGTCTCTTGCTAGGAAACAAAAGCAAAATCTTTTAATATGTTCTGTCCTATTATGTCCATTGTTCTAAAAATAGGCTTGTATGGCAGATACTCAAAACGGGGTCAGTTACAGAAACAATGAATTCACATTCTAAAATGGAGAAAATTAATTTTAAGTATAAAGGCTGATGGAACCAGGACAGAAATGTCCTGCATAAAGTTCTCAGGCTTGATCACAAAGATCAAGGAATACAGCCCACAAAGATAGGGACATTAAGACATCCTGAGTATGATAATTAAGCCTCTTTATAGTCAATACAGTAAAAAGAGGGAGGCAAAGGAAAGATGAAAGTGTAGCTGTGTTCCAGACCAAAGAAGCCTTTAAATCGCCCACCACACAGGTCAAGTTCCCAGTGTGCTGTCCATTCCTGTCTCTTCCTATGCCTTTGGCCATGGAATTCTGGGTATCAGAATACAAGAAATGAACAGGATTTATTAATCCTCAAATGTGAGGTTTTGCTGGTCTCTCTCGTGGCTACTCCATTATATAGCATATCATCAACACTTTACTAATAACTGATACTGACCTAACTTGCAACCTTGATGAACACTCTTCCCCCCAAATCCCCAGAAAACAAAACTTTTCCCAAGCAAGGGTGATTTTGTCTAATTAAAAATACATTTTAAGTTTCATTACTTCTTTTACTCAACCCAGGTCAAAAGGATCAATTTTCAAACATGGATATATCTACTAATTTTCCAGGTGATGAGGATGTGTACGTCTAAGGCACACCTCTGAATACTGAGCATTAAATACTGTTCAACAGTAATAATATAAATGGTGTTGAAAAAAGATAGAAGAAAGCTCTATAAATACCTAGGCGCTGAGGAGTCTTACCTATCAATTCTCTGGGCTGGGCTGTCCTGCTGGATCCATTGCACGGAATGTTCTGATAGGAGGCAGTTGAGGTGGTGTTCCCCCAGGACTCTGGGGATGAGAAGCTGAAAGGTGGAGGGTTGCCATGGTCCTGCAGCTCCTTACACTGAGGCAGGCTGTCTTGAGGAGTGCTTGCTTCTTCAGAACAAGGCTGCACTGAGCTAGATGAGATTCTTCTTTGGTACAAAGGCCGACCGGGTCCTCTGGGCTCATACTATATACACATACAAAAAATCATTTCACAAATCAGTGGACCTCACTCTGTGACAATCTCACACTATTAAGTAGAAATGCTAGAGTTTTCTTCTCTGTGACTGTTTACCAGCTCCTCCTGCATTGCCCCAGCGAAAAAAGCAACCTTACTTTTGGACTTGGAGTCAAAAGACTAGGTTTAGAACTCAGCTCTGCTACTTACTACACAGTCCTACAACAACACATGGCCAACTTCTGATTCTATTTTCTTGGCCATAAAGCCAGGTTTCTTCAGTTCTAAAACAAAAATAAGGAAACAGAAGGCTGATCTAAGAGGATACAATATTCAATTGAAACTTAGTAGAACTGTGTGTCATTTGTATCTTCCAAACTGACACCCCCAAACCACTCAGACACACAGCGCAGGATCCTGGGAAGCACTGTACAAAATCTATCATAGTTTCAAAGCACCTACTGAGAGAGATGAATGTGTAGATGAAAGAGGAAATGCAATTTCAAATCACATTATGAGTATGATTGACCCTTTACATCAGAAAAAAGGCACTGAAACTTGAAAGTTTCAAAATGTTTTATAAATTAAAGAAAAATAATAAAGACAGGTCTACTGGTACATATATTTCACTCAACATAAAGGGAAGAAAGTGTGAAAAAGTGAATTGCTACACTGGAAGCTGTCTTTAAGTGTAAGTTAGTACAGCCAAAGACATTTCAATGACAGATTAAAAAACAGTTTATATATTAAGCAAATTACATTTTACCAATTTCATAGTTTTCACATCCAGATCCTGCACAGGTTTTACAAGATTTACATCTCAGTATTTGATCTTTCTTTGAACAATTGCAAATAATACTTTTATATTTTTGTCAGTATACTAATATGACTAATTTTTTTGAAACATGGTCTCACTACGGAGCCCAGGCTGCCTTGAACTAGCAGTGATCCTCCTTTTTAGCCTCCCAAATGCTAACATTATAGGTATGTGCCTCCTGCTCATCAGTGTGACTGATTTTTGTGTTGGTTCCGTCTCATGACTTTGTAAAACTCACATTTCTTACAATATTTCTGTTAGTTTTTTGAAAGATTTCTTTCTTCTCTACTGATAGTCATGTCAAAGAATAGGGACAGTTTTCTTTCTTTCCACTTTCCTTTATTAGACTTTCATTTCCATCTTCCTTTATTAGACCTTTATCTCCTCACCTTATTAGACTAGATAAGCGCTCCAATACAATGCTGAATAGAAGTGCTGCCTCCCTGTTTCCCATGTCCCTTTTTTCTTTTCTTTTTTTTAGAGTAAAGCTATGTTGGCCATGTTGGCCTTGAACTCTTAGCATCGAGATCCTGAGTACTTTAACTACATGTGCATGGCTTGTAGTTACCTGACTTGTCCTGTCTTCCTCCTCATCTTAGCTTGCAGTCTTTCACCATTAACTGTGATGTTAGCTACACGATTTTTATAGACACCTTTTAGCAAATTGAGGACGTTTCCTTCTATTTCTACTTTGCCAAAAGTTTTTTTTGTTGTTGTTATTATAAGATGTATTTTGTTCAAATGTATGTGTTGGGGGTTGGTGATTTTGAGGGGGTGATTATCTATTAACATGACTATGTGATCTGTTTTCCCTTTAGATTGTTGCTATGCTGGATTATATTGATTAATTTACAAATATTGTACTGGCCTTGCACTTGAAGATAAGCCTTACACAGCCGTGGTATATTTTTCTTTTTATACCTAGTTAAATCCAGTTTGATAGTGCTTATTTACACTGATACGCACACTAATGTTCACAGAAATTAGTCTGTATTCTTTTTTTTTCATACTATCTCTGGTTTTGGTAAAAGAGTAATGTGGCTGTATATAATAAGTTGAAAAGTTTTCCTTTCTTTTTTCTGGACAAGCCTTTAAGAATTGAACTTTCTTTACATATGTGGAGAAATTCAGTACTATAGCCATTTGGTCTGAGGATTTATTTTTTGTAAGTTTACTAATTACAAATCCAATTTTTTAAACAGTTGTACAGACAATCACGTGTAATTTGTTTCATTGTTGGTATATTTTTAAGTGATCTCACTCACTTATGCCATGGACTTAACATGCACTGCTTTCTTATTACTCAAATACATAAAAATAACCAATTCACAATGATATTTACAGTGAAAAAAGATGGGCAAAAAGTTTATCAATGGTCATTTTTGAGGCCTGCTAAGGGACCAAAAATTGATTAATAAAGAGCATGAATTAAGGATACAGTCTGTACAGTCTGTCTTCTATACAGACTGTATTTTAGGTAGTAACCAAATATTTTTTAAAAATGGTCCTTTGTAGAAGAAAAATTCAAGAGAAACTGAAAAGGCACCATTTTGCTCTCTCAATTGAAATAATAGACTTGAGCTCATCAACAGCTTCTGAAATGGGAAAGGATGTTCACAATGATTAAAATTGATGGTTCAGATAACATCACCTGTTATCAATGATCAAATTAATATCACTAAAGTGGAAAGACTAGATACTACATATATCTTTCTCTATACACATATAATGTCATGGATATCTTCCCATGCCATGAAAAACCTATTATGACACGGCATTGAGTAGTTGCTTTTTAAAAAAAAAAACTTAAATGAAATGGCTCTGTTTCATCTTGTTATGGTTTAAATACAGAAAAACCCCAAAGCCTCATGTGTTCAGAGGTGGGACTCTTTTGGAAGGTGACTGGATCCTGAGGGCACTGTATCATCAGTGCTAAATCTGTTATCAGCAGGAAGAGTCTGGTTGGAAGAGGCAGTTTTCTGGGGATATGATCTTAATGGTGATCTTCTTCCTTGGTTCCCCACCTTCTCTTTCTCTGCTTTCTGGCCACCACGATATGAGCAGCCCTCCTTTGCTAGACCCTTCTATCCCATCAAGTTCTTTGTAATAGCTTGGCCTTAGTGCCAACTAAGCATGGAATGAACTCACTGTAACTGAGTGACGAAATTAATCTTTCTTTTAAGTTGTGAGTGCTAGGTATTTTGCTCCAGTAATGAGAATGTGACTAAGACATTTTCCCAAGATTAAAGAAATTGACTACAAAACACTCTTAGGATCAACTAATTTCTTTGTTTAGCTTCTGGTTAGATTATCCTCTTATGTTTAAAATTACATCCTAGGGCCAGGAATTTAGCTCAGGGGTATAAGCGACTGCCTGGCAAATTCTAGCTCAAGAGTTCAATCCCTGGTAAGAAGGAAGGAAGGAAGGTTGGTATAGAGGTACAGACATACATAGAAGGAAACAAATAGGATGTAAGGAGGGAAAGAACATGACTCTAAATTTAAAAACAATCCATAGTAACAAGACAGATGCTGTGTGCCAGGGAGCCACAATTAAAAAGTGTTTGGCAAATTTGCTAATTCTGAGTTAATGGTAGAAGTTGGTCCAGGACTCCACTAAAATAACATAAATGAAAATAGAAGATATATAACAAGATCATGAGACTAGCCATCAACAGAGGTTACCTTTCTGGGAAATATGGAAATTCAATGGAAAATAGCATCTATGGAAGAAGAATTGAGCAATTACTACTGCTGAAAAAGGGAATGAATCTACCCTGCAGAATTCCACAAAGGCCTGGAAACATCAGTTTGAATGGAAAACGAAAGGAGGGTAAGGATCAAAATTGGGGATTAACAGGAAGCAGTGGATCTCACATTATATTCTTCCCCACACCTTTAGCAGGACACAGCCATCTAGGAACTTACAATACAGAAAAAGAGGGAAGAGCCAGACAAACAAAATGTGAGAAGAGTGAAGGACTACAGAGGCATCAGAAAGTGTCCAGAAAAGGCTCATCAGAAAAAATCTGTGACATACACAAAACTCCAAGTTCCTTTAAGTGAAGTTTTTTGGTGACGTGAATGATCAAAGGTTATTGGACTTTGAGGATGAGTCTCTAGTATAGAGTCATAAATAGGAAAAAAGGGAGACCCAGAAACAAAAATGATGTTCAAACACTGTTTTCAAAAAATAATAACAAATACTCTAATTGGTATTTTCAGAAAAGGGACCGCATTCATAAGACAAAAGCAGATTACAAAAAGGAAAAGTTTGAGACTAAAGAACTGTTGAAAATTTTAAATTTTAGGGTACAAATATGAAATACAAAAGAAGGACTTACAGATAAATCAAGGAACTCTTTTTCCAAAGCAGAAAAACTGACAAGGATTTTAAAACATAACAGGAAAAAAAAATTAGAAACTCAGGAGGTCCAATATCTTATCAACATAAGTTTCAGAAAGTGAAAAAGAGAAAAGAGGTGGTAGGAAACAATCAAAGGCGTAATAGAAGACAACTTCACATAGGGTAAGGATGTGAGTTCTTGTCTATAGCAATGCTGTCCAAAGACGTTCCTACAGGGATGGAGGTCCTGGTCCCATCTCTGTACGGTTCAGTTCAGTAAGGCAGCACCTGGCCCCACCACAGGTGGCTATGACTTAGTGGGACTGAGGAATATAATTTTGAATCTTATTCCATTTCCAATCACATCCTCAGGATTTACCTACAAAGTAAATCCTAAATTTGTTTCTCATCATTTCCACTGCTATGCCATAGCCCAAAGTACCATTATTTTGTTCATTAAATAACTGACATTTTTTTACTGCTTCTTTTACATTTATTGATAGGTTGACTGGTTTTTTGAGACAGGATTTTGCTATGTAGCTCAGGCTGCGCTCAAACTCATGGTACTCCTTCCTGCCTCAGCCTCCCAAATGCTGGGATTACAAGTGTCTGACACCATGCTCAGCCAAAGTTATTTTTATAATAGCCTGCATTATCTCTGTTTCTAAAGCAACTTTAATTTTCTGCTAAGTTGATAAAATTCAAGCATTAAATAATAGGAGCAAAAATTTATCTTAATCTTAAAAAATCAGACCATATTATCACTGTATTTTATTACTGTTTTTCTTTTTTGTCTTTTTTGTTTTGTTTTGTTTTTATTGGTACCAGGGATCGAACTCAGGACCG